TTTCAGCCAGTAATATGGTATCATATGTATATATTAAACAATCAATGATCCTTCCACCAAATGTCATTCCTCTTTCACCTGAATCTAAGCCACGTTTTCACCTGATATGTTTTGGATATATAAATTGAGCAGTAGGGAAACAGAATGCACCCTTGTCTCACACTTCTATCTATTAGAAATAATTCTCCTTCTCCATAACAGTAGTCTCTTATCGCAAGTATAGTTTATGCATCAGGACAACCAGATATAGTGGCGTACTCATTTTGATAGCTTTTCTTGATCCACACAACCAAAATATTCGCCGCAATCCAGAATAAACAAATAGAAGGAATGGATTTTCTTCTAAAATTCTTTGTTATGCTCCAGAGCAGCTTGCATATCACTTCTTAAAACGGCAGGTTCTTTATCAAAAGATTTTTCATTGAAACAAACTGCCATTCTTGCTTTCTTCCTTATAAATCTTTAATTAATTGTTTCTCATGTTTTATTTATCCTGATCAGATAAAATATTCCATTGTAAATTTTTGCATCATCTATTATCTTGTTGATTTCTTGGATTTTCTGAAAGATATGTCTTATTTTTAATTTTTGCCTGCCCTCTTCTATTTCTTTGCAATGATAATTATAATAATTTTCTTTGTCCCTACATGTAATTCATTCAAAAGTTGCCTGTAGGATTCTGGCCCTATTACTTTTGCTTCTCACCTGCCAACAGTTTTTAAAAATTCATCAATCAACTGTTGGGGCTCCCCTACTCCCCCTTTTTTGGTTACAAGAATAATGTTTTTACATTCTTCCCAGATTGCACTTCTGGTTTCAGCCCATAGCTTTTTTGATTCAGAGTCAACTAAACTTAGTAATGCAGATATATTCTTTACATGGATTTAAAATTTGTATTTGGCATTATGACTGTTTTACTGTTCTTCTCCAGATTTATTCTAATTAAAAAATATTTACAGTTTACTTTCTGTAACACACTCTGCTCCTGATCTTGTTTTTTGCAATGAGAATAGACCTCCACTTTCTGCTTCCCATTATATACCTAGTCTATTTTAATTTTGTATTGGCCACTGGATGATGTCCACATGTACAATCATCTGCACAGTTGGCTGAAGCAGAGAATGTGTCTAGGAATGCAACCAGCACCTCATTAATTAGCTGCAATTTTCCACTGCTGCAACTTCCATTACTCCATTTACAGGAATCTAAATCACTGGTTGGATCCTTGCCAGTGATTTCTCTACATATATTCTTCAGTCACTAGGACCTAAGGAGAAATCCTTTCCCCTGGATGGAAACTCTGCTTTTTAGGATGTTCTCAACTTCACCTGCTCTCACCAGAGAAACCACTTCTGTACTAAGACTGAACAAAGTGGTGATATAAGCCCTAACATCCTGCTTCATTATTTCCAACACTGGCTGTGTGGATCTTCTTCCTAGAAGTCCAAAGGTTATGCTGAGAATAAAGACCTTGGCTCCCAAAATTTTTATGCTCATGCATAGTGTGAAGAAAGGCTCTTCAGTAATTATTTTTGTCAAATGAGTTTTGCACTCAAGGTATATTGCCACATGAGACAAGACAAACCAAAGCAAACGAAGATCCTCAAGCACCTCATTCTCCCCCATGGCAGTGAGAATACAATGGTGATCATCAACAACTAACACAGGTCTCTTTTTTTTTCCAGCAGAAAATATAAGCTTCCTAAGGTGCTGCCTCCTTCTGTTTAATGGTCAGTACAGCCTGTCAGAATAACAGGTGGGAACTGAGACAGGACGGACAGGCACAGCACACAGAGTCCAAGCCAATGCTGGCAAAGAAGAACACAAAACATGTGGGAAAGGTCAGGAGTACAAAGGGTGAAAAAAGTCAGAGTGTGGGACTAACTTGCTAAAAATAACACTTACTCATTGTTCATTACTTTCCTGACTAACGATGGCTGACAATCTTACTCTGACTCAATTTATGAAATCAAGGTTTGATGGTGTGGTAGCCCTGCTTCAAAAATGTATTTTTATTTCTGGATTATTTGGACGAATTTTTGGCCATTGTATTTTTTCAAACCTTTTTCTAAACATTAATGTATTATTAGTTTGCCTTTTGAATGACAAGTAATACCAATGAATTATTTCCTTTCATAATCATACTATGATTACATCAGCATTCAAAGTAACAATTTTCAACTCCTGGAGGGGAATGTATGGAAGTGATACAGAAGGCCTCCCTGTCATTCTGAATAAAATTTTGAGAAACTGCTTACCATCTTGTGCCACATTACTGTAGATTTTTTAAAACTTTATTATATTGTTTTTATTCCATTTTTTATTGTTAGCCACCCAGAGCAGACTTTGGTCTAGATGGGTGGGGTATAAATCTAATAAACAAACAAACAAACAAACAAACAAAAAAGAGCT